GTCACTTTCTAAATGACGTGCTCTACACTTTTCCCACTCTCCAACCCGATTTAATGTTGTTAATAATAAATTGGAGACTCTATAATTTGTGTTTAAGGGCGACATTGAAAAAATTTACCGCCAAATACGAGTCCACGAAAACGACCGCGGTTTTCAAAGAATTGCTCCTCGAAAGACTGCCGAAAACCCAATAAGTGACTTCAGACTTAAAACAGTGACTCTCGGCTTTAATTGCGCCCCTTACCTTGCCATACGAACACACCATCAACTTGCCCAAGAGTCTTCGCACAAATTCCCCTTATGCGAAAAAATTTTAAAGCAGGAAACATACGTTGATAATTTATTTTCTGGAGCACATGATATAGAAACTGCAGAGAACTTTTTACCCAACTTTTCCAAGCTCTAAACTCCGCAGGATTTCCTCTAAAGAAAATTACCGCAAACAACGACCGGCAACTCGAAAAAATGCCCAACGAAAACTTATTGGATTCGAACTTCCTAAAATTTTAAGATTTTAGCACCACAAAGGCTTTAGGTGTTCGATGGAATACAGTTACCGACTCATTCTCTTATACATTCAACCTACCCTCAACACCACATTCAGCAACAAAGCGGCAAGGCCTCTCGACAGTTGCCAGACTTTTTGACCCTCTTGCAGACACTTTGGAAAGAGGGAACCGGCTGGGATGAATGTGCCAGGCCCAATTCTCTTAATATGTGGTGCAAATTTGTCGAAAACCTATGCGAAGTTGGAAAGATAGAAGTTCCCCGTTGGATAGGATTCTCACCCACTTATAACATCCAAATTCATGCATTTTGATATGCGTCACAAGAGGCATATTGTAACCCATCTACTCGTCGCGAAGGGCAAAGTAGCTCCCCTTCATACAGTCAGTCTTCCGCGCTTGGAATTCTGTGGGGCAGTACTTCTATCCAAGCTCCTAAACCAGGTACGGTCGCAATTAGATCTACAAAAGGTTGCCGTATATTTATTTATGGTGCGACTCGTCGATCGTACTTGCTTGGCTGGAAAAACTCCCATACGTTGCCAACCGTACTTCCCAAATCCTCAAGAACGTAGGAAACTCAACATGGCGACATGTAAGGAGCAGCGGCAACCCTGCTGACTTAGGCACTCGTTCACTATGGTGGCATGGTCCGGAATGGCTGCATTATAACCCGAATAGTTGGATGCATGATAACCCGAATAGTGGGCCACCCCAAAGAACTCCACCCTCCGAACAAAGAAATGTTAAATCCTTCCATATGGCAAGAAACGAAGACATTTTAGATGATTTTTCTTCATTCGCAAAAGCTTTGCAAATCATTAGCTACGCATTTCTTTTCTTCCACAAATGCAGATAGGCCGCCCAAGAATCTGGTGCATTAACCCAACTCGAAATAAAGAACTCAAAGGTCCGTTTGATTACTCTATCTCAAAAACGATATTTTGAAGACGAATACTCTAATCTCATCTCCAAGAAACCCATAAGTAAGAAAATCAGTTTGCTATCTGTTAACCCTGTACTGGGTTGTATACGGTATGCACACATTGGTACTTAAGATTTTT